AATAAAGCTATTTAAATGCATAAATCAAGCAGAACACCATAGCGATAGTACTGCTCCACTTGTGAAAGCATAATCTGTTGGGATCTTTTTGGCATCAAGACAATTATTCTTTTTTTACCACAGGTCCCTGTTTAAAAAAAATAATAATAATAATTAGTTTTTTGTTAATGCAGTTTTGTTTAATAATGTCAGATACATACTGCACTCATGCAGGTATTGTGAAATTGTTGTAGGACAGTACAAGCTGCAGGTTATAAAATAAAAGCGTTACAGCCTATTATTAAATCAGCATTTCATACAGCAGATGAAAAGTAAATGTGAGTTGGTTTGAAAATGAATCCAAAGCTCTGACTGATAAACTGATACGCCTGAAGCTGTCAGTTGGTGCTTTGTGTTGATTGAACAGATCATGACGTAAATCGACGTCATCTTATGGCCGTTATGGTACTTCCGGGTCGGCGCAGCCCTGAGGGATACAAAGAAGAAGGCAACAATGGCTGATGTTTCCTTGTATCTTACTAATGTCAGTGTTTCTTTAGGACGGGGAATGGATACAGGACAGGTAGGAGCATCTCTGTCTCCCTGTTAGCTAAACCACTGTGACCTTATCGCTGTGTTTGCAGGTTAATCGCTCCTTGTTATTAGCCGCAGCTGTCATGTCGGGCAGATTTCATTTTTACTACCGCTGCTTTGTTTCTGGAAGTGTTTGCTGCTCTGAAGCCGTTGAATTCACACCGTGTCCGTGTCCGTCTCCCAGATTCAGAACCCGAACCAGGGGCGGGACTTTGAGAGCGTGGAGCTGGGGGAGCTGGGGAAGAGAACGGAGCCGAGGGAGAAGGTTCCCCGTCGGATCATCCACTTCTCCAGCGGGGAGACCATGGAGGAGTACAGCACCGATGAGGAGGAGCCAGAGGACCCGGAGGAGGAGAAGAAGGACCTGCTGTCTCCTCCGGTGGATGCGGTGAGGGTGAGGAGCGGTGGAGGGTCGGGTTCTCCCCCTTTACCCCTGTGTGATGATGATGATGATGATGATGATGATGATGATGATGATGATGATGATGATAGTGATGATGATAGCGATGATGATGATGGTGATGATGATGATTATGATGATGATGATAATGATGATGATGATAGTGATGATGATAGTGATGAGGATGGTGGTGATGATGATGATGGTGATGATGATGATTATGATGATGATGATAATGATAGTGATGATGATAGTGATGATGATGGTGGTGATGATGATGATGGTGATGATGATGATTATGATGATGATGATGATAGTGATGATGAT